GTGTGTGCGTGTGTTCGTGTGTGTGCGTGTGTGTGTGCGTGTGCGTGCGTGTGTGTGCGTGTGTGTTTGTGTGCGGTTGCCGCAGCACTGCAGCTATTGCCCTTCGTCCGGTGCCCCTCTCCTCGTTTGGCTCCTCTTGTTGGTGGCCAAAAAAGGGGGTCTGCAACATGGGGTCTTCAATGGGGGCTGAATGGCCCATGCATGTCCAATGTATTGCTCATGTATGTGATCGGGCACGATTGGCAGCCAATGTCGGCGGCAATGGAGGGCCAGTCGTCCGTGCCCGCGCATTGCCCGCGCGGGCGCATGCGCCGTCCATCCTATATCGTTCATGCGTTCGGGCGTGCTTGCAAATTGCGCGTGGGGCGGCAAAGTGGAGTGCGAGTGTGTCCTGATTGTGCGGTTGATGATCGCGTATGCTCCCAAGATATGGCTTGTCGACCCCCAAGACAGATTTGGACTGGGTCCCGCGATTGTCCCAAAATGTGAATTCATATTTTTATTTTGTCCCAAGATGTGAATTCACATTCTGGCCCATTCATATTGGTTCCTACACAAAATGCCAAACTGTGAATTCAAATTTTCCTTTTTTTTTCCAAAATGTTAATTCACATTTTCCTTTTTCCCAATATGTGAATTCACATTTTTCCACAATCTGAATTCACATTTTGCCGTGGCCTTCGAGATCCCCAAAACTGAGGCGCGGTGTTCCGCGTGCCAGATTGGCTGGGCAGATTTTGACAGTCACCTCGCTGCTGTCGTTTATTACAATTCGTTTGCGCCCTCAGCGCACGTTGCCTTCGTCGCCTTTCCCGAGCCCCCCGCCCCCTTGTTTCGTTCACCTTCAAGCCTCGCGCATGGGTGCAGGCGGGGAGCTTCAATTGGTTTCCCCGCCGAACACAGCAATCGAGGATGCATCGCCCATGCATGGCCCAAAAAGACACCAGTGCCGGGACCCTACGCCCGACCCCCAATTTCACCCTGCAATTTTCGCCCCCCCTCGCGACTGTCCCCCCCCCGCGAATCGCGCTGCGCGGTTCCTTCCTGGGTGAGTCCGGCTCGCCCTGCTGTTTCTGAGTTGGGCTCCCGCGTTTTGAGCCTTGTTAGGTCGTTTGCTTGAGTTTGCTGCATTGCTGCGCGCTTTGCCGCGACGCACAACCACGTGTGTGTGTGTGTGTGTGTGTGTGTGTGTGTGCGCGCGACATGAGTGCAGTGGATTTCAAGGAAGACGGGCACTCCTGGTGCAGACCCCCTGGTGACGGTTGTTGACATCCCTGGCCCTCCTCATGCATTTCGTCTTTTGCCCAGTGTGTGATGGGGCACTTGTTCATTGGGGCCACGTTGCCCTCACCTTCGAGAGCTGGCATTTGTCGTTCACCTTCCAGTACGCTGGTTTTCGGTGTCTCTGGCTGCCTGTGCGCACCACGTATCGAACCCTCGTTTTCGCTTGAGGCCTCCTCCCACGTTCCCCTTCCGCGGCCGCCCTTGTTTTTTTCCAGTTGCCTGGTGTGCCCCTGCCCTACCGCGTTGGCGCTTGCTCTCGCCGCTCACCAATCAGTGTGCGTGTGTGTGTGTGTCACATTGCGTGTGTTTTTGTTTTGGGGGGGGGGGCGGGTGTTTGTACTTTGCCGCAGATTCGGCCATTCCATTCATTGATCTGTTGCTTCCCCAGCGAGGATGGAAGACGAGGAGAAGAACCAGTTCGCGGCCGAGGTGCTTCCGCAAGGAAATTGTACAGCGCGTCTACTACCTTGTATGTTTGTAGGTGTTTCAAAGATGGCCTCCATCGGAGACTCGATGTACCGCCTTTGGGGGAGCCCGGTGTAGGCGTCAGTGAGGGCGCCCTCGTATTGTGGCCAGGTTCGATTTGGACACCCTCCACGAGTGTCTTTTGTCCTGACTATCCTGTGGTCTTGGGTTGTCGTTTTGAATCAGCAAGGCCCACCCATCTTTTCCTCTTCCTTCCCCTCCCTCCTCCTTTGCTCATCTCCTCACCTTTGCTTTCCGCATGTCTCCACCATAGTCATCATCATCGATTTAATTTTGGTACAACCCTCACACCTTTCGTGGCACCATGGGGAGTTCCACCGAAGACCTCCGTGGCAGCGCCCGCATGCGGATTCGGGTTTATTTTGGCATGGTATAGACCACACGTTTCATGTCCCATAGGGAGCTCCACCGACGGCCGTAGTGGCAGTGCCCGCGTGCGGATTCCGGTCTATTTTGGCACACCGCTCCCCTCGCACGCCCCTGGCACACCACTCCACACTCACAGTCACACCCACACCCACACCCACACCAACACCCACACTCACACCCACACCCACACCCACACCAACACCCACACCCACATTCACACTCACATTCGCACTCACACTCACACTCACACTCACGCACACGCACACGCACACGTACACGCTCACCTACACCTACACCCACACCCGCACCCACACCGGCACCCACACCCAAACCCACGCCCACACCCAAACCCACATTCACACCCACACCCACACCTACACCCACACTCACACTCACACTCAAACTCACGCTCACGTTCACGTTCACGCTTACCCTCACCCTCACACCCACACTCACACTCACACTCACACTATCACTCACACTCACTCTCACACTCACACTCACACTCGCACTCGCACTCGCACTCACACTCACACTCACTCTCACACTCACAATCACACCCACACTCACACTCACACCCACGCCTACGCTCACGTTTACTCTCACACTCACACTGACACTCACATGCACATTCACACCCATTCCCACACTCACACTCACACTCACACTCACACCCACACCATCACTCACACACAATCACACTCACATTCACACTTACACACACTCACACTCACACTCGCACTCGCACTCGCACTCGCACTCGCACTCGCACGCGCACGCACGCGCGCACGCACGCACACACACACACACACACCCACACTCACCCACACCCACACACCCACACCCACACCCACACTCACACCCATAACCGCGCCCACTCCCACACACACAAACACACACACACACACACACACTCGCACACACACACATTCCCACATACACACATTCACAGGCACAAACACACACACACACGCACGCGCACGCGCACACGCACGCGCACGCGCACTCGTACTCGCACTCGCACTCGCACGCGCACGCGCACGCGCACGCGCACACGCACACGCACATGCATACGCCCACACGCACGCGCATGCACACGCACGCACGCACACACACACACACACACACACACACACGCACACGCTCACGCACACGCACACGCACACGCACACGCACACGCACACGCTCACGCACGCGCACACGCACACGCACAAGCACGTTCGCACGCACATGCACACGCACGCGCACGCGCATGCGCACGCGCACCCATGCACACACACAGACACACACACACACACGCACACACGCACGCACGCAGGCACACACACATTCATGCACAAACGCATTCACACACAAGCGCGCACGCACACACACACACATACACGCTCACGCACACACACACACACACACTTGGAAGTGCTGCTTTGGTTGGAATGTCGTCCTCGGCCCCTCCAAGCTCCCCGTAGGCTTTGAAATTCTCGGGGACCTCGGCGCCCTCAAGATCCTCGAAGACTTTGAAAACCTTCGAGGCCAAGGTGCCCTCAAGATCCAGGAAGGCTTTGACATCCGCGGAGGCCAGCGCGCCCTCAAGATCCACGGAGACTTTGAAACCCCTCGGAGTATAGTCGCCCTCAGGAATCCCCATCTTGATGAGGTCCTTCGCGTGCTAGGTGCCCTCGGGGTCCCCTTTGGATGGCCCTGTGGAGTCCATGAAGGTTTCCTCATTGAGAGTGACTCTTTGGGGTCCTCGCTAGACAGCACTTTCTTCACCAGTCACGTACGTGAATCATCGCAGACCCACGTGTGTGCGCCGCCAAAGGCTGGTGGCTTGAGCGCTAGCCTAAGCCTGCGATGTTATCTTGGGGAAAGAACGGCTATGGTGCGTGCGAGCGTGTGCAGACAAAAGAGAATCCATACTGCTCTTCACAAATGCCCAAACTCAATCGGAGAGTGCCCAAACGGCAGACATAGCAAAGCTATCTTCTGGTGGCTCAAACTTCAGAATAGAAGCACACGCGCACACACGCGCACACACACACACGCACGCGCACCCGCACACGAACACGAACACGTCCACGCACGCGCGCGCACACGCGCATGCGCACGCACACACACACACACGGGCACGCACACGCACGCGCACGCGCAGGCGCACGAGCACGAGCACGCGCGCGCGCGCACGGGCACGCGCGCGAGCACGCGCCGCACACGCACGCGCACAGACACACAGCCACACACACACACACACACACACACACACACACACACACACACACGCCCTCACACCCACACGTCCACACACCCACACACACACACCCACACACGCACACGCATTCTCTCTCTCTCTCACACAAACACGCGCACGCACACACACCACGCACACCACACACCCCACACACGTACCCACACGCCCCCGAACACACACACACATACACACACCAACACACCCCACACACACACACACACACACACACACACACACACACACACACACACACACACACACACACACACACACACACACACACACACACACACACACACACACACACACACCGCACGCACGCACGCACGCACGCACGCACGCACGCACGCACGCACGCACGCACGCACGCACGCACGCACGCACGCACGCACGCACGCACGCACATACACACACATTCTCTCACACACGCACAAACACACACGCACACAAACGCACACGCACGCACACCCACGCACCCACGCACGCACACACACACACACATACACACGCACTCACGCACACACGCACACACACACGGTCACACGCACTCGCACACGCACACAGACACAGACACATATACATACTTTCGCACACACACACACACACACTCCTCCGTAGCCATGTTGGCTCAAGCCATTTTGGCTGAAGGGCGCCGTTCCCAGGCTAGCGCCTGGTAGCGGGGGCGAACCTCCCGCCTTCCTCTCTCCCGCCTCGGTCCGCCTGAAGGCGGGGGCGAGCAGCTCGCTGGCTGGCGATGGCATCGGTTTGGGCGCGGCGCAGTCTTGGATGCCATCCTCGGGATCCAGGGCGTGCGCAGGGCGCTGCAGGAGTCCCTGTTGCGCCGAGCGGTGGAGGTGGCAGCAGCGCAGGTCGTCGGTGGTGGCGGCAGCGCGCAGGCCATCGCCGAGGAAAAATGCCGTGTTCTCAAGGACTTGGAGGCCGTCTGGGAGCAAGCGGGCCAGCGCCGGCAGCTGGGGCGCAAGGCTACCCTCGGGGAGGTCGCCAGCGAGCTGGTTGCGAGGAACCAGCGGCCGCCTGCGAAGGAGCTCAGCGCGGTGAACACGGCGAGGAGGGCGGTGACCCATCAGCCTGTTTCGGTACGGCAACGTGTCGGCGCCGCCTTGCAGCTCCCGAAGGGCAGCGACGCCGACAGCATGGCGGACACCGCGGCGAGCGACCACGTGGAGCTCGTGGCCGAGGCGGAGCGCAGGGCAGCCGCCATAGAGGCGCAGTTTGCCGAAACGCGGGCTGAGCAACTCCAGCAGGTCACGGTGCTCGAGGCGGCGCTCGATGACGTCGGCCGCACGGCGGCTACTGCCGATGCGAGGGCCCAGGCAGCAGTGGTGAAGGCGGAGCGCGGCGAGAAGGCTGCAGCCGCAGTGCGCCTGAGCTTGGGGGGCGAGCGGGACGCAGCACTCGAGCAAGCGGCGGAGGCCCCGCGGGTGCTCGGGCGCGAGATCGCCCGCCTCCAGCAGCAGCACGAGGCTGAGCGGGTCGCCGAGGAGGCGGCCGAGCAGCCAGCGGCGCGCTGCCACAGGCCGCGCTTGGTCCGGAGCCAGGCCGGCGGCGGCGGAGGCGCGATGGCTGAGCCTGGCCTGCGCAAGGCGCCCACCTGTGTATGCATAGTTGCACTTTACGCTTGGTGTGTTGATGGTGCTTTTGGTGTTTGGCAGTGGTAGTATGGAATACTCTGATTGTTCACGCCTGGTTCCATCACAGCGTATTGCAGAGGGCCTCTTACACATGGACAGTGTGTACAGTAACTTGTTTTGGACGTGGTCTGTTGCCTGGCGAGCTGGGGCGCCGTCCCTAGTAGTCGCCAGAAGGGTTTCGCTTGGCCGTGCATGCGCTTTCCTGGAGAGCCGGGACGCGGTCCCCAGTTGTCGCCAGAAGGGTGTCGCTTGGCCGTGCAACCTCACTTTACCCACTGCCGTTTATGCTTGAGGTGTTGTTGGTTCTTTTTGTGATTGGCAGTGGCAGTTTGCAATGCTCTGATCGGTCCATCATCGAGTACTGCATTTCTCTAGGCTTCGCGCGCTGAGGCGCTGTCCCCAGTTGTCGCCAGAAGGGCTTCGCTTGACCGTGCAGGCGCGCGCTTGGTGAGCTGGGGCGCTGTCCCCAGTAGTCGCCAGGAGGGCTTCGCTTGGCCGCGCAAGCACATGTTGCATTTTGCTTCACCAGTTATCCGTGCAATGCGGGTACATTCCCCCTTTAATTTCGGTGCGCTTCGCGCTCTGTGTCGTAAGAGTGGCCTTGAGGCCTCAGTGGCTTCAGTGGCTGGCAGGCCGCACTCAGGCCTTAGAAGCCTTCTGGGCAGGGCTGTGTTCGCTTCACTCGTGGCTCGAGCGCTGCCCCTTCGGTAGCTCGACGCGCGCACGCGCGCAAACGCGCACGCGCGCACGCACGCACGCGCGCACATACGCACGCACGCACACACACACGCACACTCAAATACACACACACACACACACTCGCGCACGCACACACTCGCACACTTTGTCGCCGGCGGCTCGGCAGAGTCACTGCGATGGCAGACTTTCTGCGTTGGCCCCTTTCTCCCCCGCAGACGCACGGACGCACAGACACACGCGCGCACGCGCACGCGCGCGCGGGCATGCGCGCGCACAGACGCACACGCACACATCCACACACACACATCCACACACATTCGCACACATTCGCACACATTCGCACACACGCACACACACACACACATACGCACAAACACTCAACGGCTGCACTGTATTCGGCCGCCCAACTAGGACCGTCTTGTACCACCGTTGGAATATGTTGTGTGCCCATTATGGGGGGCCTCGTGCTGCTCGGACAGTGGCCAAACCGACTTGGCCCCCCCTTGAGCGTTTAATGTCCCAGTGGCGCCACGCATGTCCCACCGAGGGCGCTTCCATGCTGGTGCCAGTCCGTCTCCGGCCCCCTTTTTTTCATGCGTGTCGTGCCACATGCTTTTGTGTCCCAGTGATGGCGCCCGCGTGCTCTGGTCGGACAGTCTTGGGCCACCTTCACACTTTTCGTACGTCCTCGGGGCTCCACGTAGGCTCAACACAGGCGCCCATTATGTGGCCTGACCGTCTTGGACCAAGCCGTGTATCCCGTGCGATCATGGCCAGGAGCATGGGGACGAATGGGAGAGGAGGAAGACGGGGCCGTCTTTATCCCATGGCGATCACGGGAGTGCGTGACCTGGAGGGGGGAGGGGGCGGGGGGGGGCGGGGGCGGGGGCTCGTCACGTCACGATTCGCGCCGGCGCCGTTTTGGGAATGTTTAAGACTGGTTCGTTCTCAGGCGGCACCAGCGCAAATTGTGGAGTGACTAAAGGAGAAGGAAGGGGCGGCGGTGCTGGTCACGGGCGAGATCGCGAATAGTGGAACAATGGGTTCGAGGAGGAGGGGGGGACGAGGAGGGCCTTGAGGAGGGGGGTAGGGAGGAAGGAGGTGGGGCTAGAGGAGGCCGAGGAGGAGGAGAGAGGGACATAATCGACGAAGGAGACAGAGGCAGGGAGGACGGACGAAAAAATGATGATGAGGCGTGGCACAGAGGAGGGAGGATGGGAGGAATAGGATGAGCAGGAAGGTCAGGAGGAGGAGGAGAGAGGGTGGGAGAGGTACAGGAAGGAGGAGTGAGAGGAGCAGAGCGGAGGACAAGGAGGCTGGATGCAGCAGGGAAGATGGAGGGAGGGAGGGAAGGGGGAAAGGAGGTGGAGGAGGAGGAGGAGGAGGCCGAGGAGGAGGAGGGAGGAGGGAGGAGGAGGAGGTGGGGGAAGGGGGTGGAGAGGAAGGGAGGGGCGAGGAGAAGCCTCCGCAGCGTCTAGTCTCCTTCTCCCCCCCCCCGCCCGAGGTGGCCGAGGTGACCCAGATGCGCGGCGAGCTGGAGGCGCGCGGGCGGAGGGGTCGCGGACGGATCGGGGTGGACGGCGGTGGGGGCGGCTGCGGCGGCGGCGACCACGCCGAGGATGACGACCACGACCACAACGACGAGTGTCAATCAAGACGGATGTCAGGTGTCAGGAGGCGGCCCCATCTGTGCAAGAGGGGAGTCTTCCTCGAAGCTGGTGAAGCACCCAAGCTGTCGTCCTCCCTCTGAAGCAGAGCGTGTCTGGAGCGATGTTATTTTCAAGGTTGGTGCCGTTGTAATTCGGATGAGTGTGTTGCTTTCCTGCTTCCTCGTAGGTTGTGATCCGTACCGTTTCTGCTCATCGTATGTTGCAGCAGTCTTGGCCATGACGTCTTGGCATGATGTGCAGACAAGCTCGTCTCGCAACCTCTAGACAGGATTATCCTCATCACTTCAGTCAATAATCCCGACTGGTCGATGTGCTCCTTCAGGATTCCTATCAGTGCAGTTGCAAATCTTCACGCGCGTATTTGCAGTGGCCGTGCCAGTCGCTTCGAATGTATTGTCAGTGGGGGCGCAGTGGCAGTGGCGAGTCGTACGTTGAGGTCACCTGGACGTTTAGGACCGTAGGCAGCGATGGTGAGCGTGCGTGTGGGTGACGTCTGGCAATCGTTAGTTCAATCACGATCCCTGGCGTTTGTTGTAGTACTCTAGACTGCGGCAGCGGCTAGGGGTGAAAGCGCATGAGCTGCATGGCGCAAACAGAGCCACCCGCAAAGTGTAAGCGTTTGCAGAGACTCGGTGACGTGCTGACTGCCAGACAGGGCAACGACTTCCAAATGCGGCGGGCGTTGTACAAGGAAAACCTCCAGGACTACGTGCGAGCTGCCTGACTTGGTTGTGTTTGCTTGTGGGAAGCGTCAAGCAATCATTCCGGTATGTACGCATGCACATTCGACGAAGGCGGAGAAGGGGTAGGATGGGAAGGGAGTGTAGCGATCCAGCGGGCCGAAGAGGGGATGGAGCCAACGGGGACAATGAACGACAGCATTTCCTGTCCTTTTTGGCAGGACGTTCGCTGTCGGCTTCGCACGGAACGTTGCCAGTGCAATTCCAAGCGTCGTTTGCCCAGTTGCTGTCGCTGTCATTTTCGGACAGGCGTCGCCCCGGAAGCGATGAGGGAATGTGTATAGTAGGTCCGTGTTGAGCCGACGCGGATTCGACCCCCGCGCGGGCGTTCAAGGTTGAACGCCGCCAGTGGCCTAGAATCGGCCAACGTGGAACGATCTAGTGATCGGAAAGCCGCCGACCGTTCACGGTTGAACGACCCACGCGGTGTCAGAAACCACCGACATGGCCGTCACGACACGAATATGCCGTAGGAGGCGAGAGCGTGTAGTTATCAGCTTGAAACATCCCTATCCCTACCTATACGACCACCCTTCGGGTGATAAGGAGGTTCGGGGGGGGAGGAACCAACGTCTCACTCGATCGGTCTCACTATCGATCTCACTATCGATCTCAGTATCGGTCTCGATCGGTCGATCTCCCTCGATCGATCTCACAAACGATCTCACTCGATCTATCTCACAATTGATCTGACTATCGATCTCACAATCGATCTCACAATCGATATCACATTCGGTCTCACTATCGATCTCACTATCAATATCACAACCGCTCTCATAATCAACGTCATCATCATCATCATCATCATCATCATCATCAACAACATCAACATCAACATCAACATCATCATCATCACCAACATCATCATAATCGGGACACCGTCCTCATCATCAACACCAACATCATCATCATCACGGTCATCAACATCATCGGGACACCACCATCATCATCATCACCATCATCACAATCATCATCATCAGCATCATCATCATCCGCAACATCGGGACACAGTCATCGTCATCATCATCATCATCAGCAGCAGCATAATCATCGGGACACCATCATCATCATCTCATCCTCATCATCGACATCATCATCATCAGCTGCATCATCAACTTCATCATCAGCATCATCATCATCGTCATCATCTGGTCACCATCACCATCATCATCATCAGCAGCAGCATCGTCATCATCATCATCTGGACACCATCATCCTCATATCATCATCATCATCATCATCATCATCGTCATCATCATCATCAGCAGCATCATCATCATCAGCATCACCATCATCATCATCATCATATCATCATCAGCATCATCATCATCATCATCATCATCATCATCATCATCATCATCATCTCATCATCATCATCATCATCAGCAGCAGCATCATCATCATCATCATCATCATCATCATCATCATCATCATCATCATCTCGGGACACCGCGGGACACCGGCGGGACACCGCGGGACACCGCGGGACTCCGGCGGGACACCGCGGGCCACCGGCCGGCCGGAAGGGAGTCATTTGGTCCGGCCGCGCCTCAGCCACACGGGACTTTCGCGGGACACCGGCGGGACACCGCGGGCCACCGGCCGCCCGGAAGGGAGTCATTTGGTCCGGCCGTGCCTCAGCCACAGGAGACTTTTTCTCGCCCGCCCACGCAGCTTCGCCTCGCCCGCCCGCACGGCACGCACAAACACGAAACCGAAATCGATTTCCCGGTAGGGGGGCTCTCCGTTCCATTTCGATCTCACCCCCTCACCTCCGATGTTTAGCATCACCTCACCTCGGTGCCGACCTTAACCATTCCCTCGGTTTCCCATTGTCATAGCCACGGGCTTGTCGATCTTAGGAGGCTGGTATGGTATTGCTGGTATGGAGCCTAACTGGGAGGAGGATGAGGAGGAGGAGGAGGAGGAGGCAATGGGAGGAGGACGCAATGGGAGGAGGAGGAGGCGGAGGAGCAGGAGGAGAAGGAGGAGCAGGAGGAGAAGGAGGAGGAGGAGGAGGAGGAGGAGGAAGAGGAGGAACGCGGCTGCGTTCGGAGAACTCCATTGCCGTCATTCCTCCATTGCCTCAGGAGGAGGAGGAGGAGCAGGAGGAGGAGGAGGTCTGCGTGCGACCCTCCCGAGATGCGAGGCAGGGGCTGTTCGCCCACAAACTCGTTGGGGCTTGAACGATTGCTGTGCTGGGCACCACTGCCTGACACGCCTAGCCCCGGTGTGCACCTCAAGCCTAGGTGCGTGCCAGGGCTGTGGATTAGACCAGAGGGGGAGGAGTAGTGCCAGGCTCACGGCGGCGGCTGCTGGAAAACGTGCTGGTGGGGGGCGGCGGGGGAGCTGTCCACCTTCCTGATGCTGGCCTACCGGGTCGACGCGGACCTGGTGGTGCTCAGTGTTTGTGTGGCGTTTTATATTGTTCCTATTTTGGTGGTGTTGTGAACAGAGAATAGCGTTGGAGGTTTGGGTCAGGACTGAGATCACCGAAGGTTCCAGGGGTTCCCGGGAGGCGAAGCCCGCTCCTCGATACTTCAGGAGGTCGAGGGAGAACTGGTGGAAGAGGAGGAGGAGGCGCGATCGTCTGAGTGCGCATTTTTTCGCACAGGGCATGGCGACTGAGG